AACCCAGTTGTGCGGAATCAGAATCAACGTTGAGTTTAAGCAAGCGAATGAGCCCATTGGAGAAAAATTCTATGCAGATTTAAATTTTTCCCACTTGTGATGAATGCAGTTATCGATTTTTTTTGTATGCTAGCATGCTAGTTAACATTCGTGTCGGTCAGCTGTTTGCGCTCACGCTGGCCAATAGAATCTTCCTGCCTATTTGTGGCAGCCAGCTATAGGCTATCTCTCTGGCCAGTAGAAAATGGCCGTAAACTACATGAAAACTGCCGTAGAAGCATGAAAAATCAATTATTTCCACTATCGATGGGAGTTGGGAAATGCAACTCGGTCTTGGCCTTCCCGCTAACTTGGAGCATGTGCATGTAAATTTTGGTGCAAATCCGTCGAAAATTGCGGCCGTGCATTCATTACACACACATACACCTCCTGCCTTTTATTGATAGAGATAGATATGCCATTGTTCATTTTCTGAAATAAATTGCGGGATTGTGTGCCTGTATTATGGTATCTAGACTCATTACCTGTAGAAATTTGCAGATAAAGCCAAATTCTGCCTTTCTTTCATTTTGGGTTGCTGATGAGAAGGACTTCGTAAGATCAGTATCTCATTTGCGTCTTTTGGATTATTCTACAATACTTCGTGCTTTGTGTGTATTTTAGGCTGTAAATGATCAAAAAATGTCTATAAAAGTAACATTGAGTCACAATCTTTGATTTTCTGTAATGTATCGACTTCTGTGATAGCCACTTGCTGAGAAATATCAACCTTTTGTAGTCGGTGTAAAATGGGTAACCCGACATGTAATATTCTGTGCACATTTGAAAAGACCCTTTGTGTTTGAAATATACCTGTTTTCCTTACTCTTTTTACCCAATTTTGATTCTTAAGTCATGTGCTTCCTTGCCTCTGGTGCTGAAGTGCTTAATAAAATCACTGAAAGCTTCATAAACATGCCTCGAACATATGTACCCAAGAAACAGAAGAAATATAGTATGGATAATCTTAAAGATGCCTTGGCTAAAGTAGATGCTGGAGAAGCAATAAACAGTGTAGCCAGTTAGTTATGTCCTATGCGTGATACACGCTTAGGCAATCATGTAACTTTCGATACATGACTGACGAGGCAGTTTTTTTTTCTCGCAGCAGGTTGCCATTTCTTTCTGCGGTAGACCAATTGCCATCCAAGGCTATAGAAGCCGGTCTGTCCTGCTATTTACCCATAGCGTGGTGTGGGGAGAAAAATAGGATTCAGCCAAAAATACAATATTCCCTATTTTGCTAACAGTGTTTGACCCCAAAAAGATATGTGACTGAAAAGCGCATAAGAACATAACATCTCAAGCTATTTATTAGGACACATATAATGTCCTAATATAATATATTATAACTGGAAGGGGTCCAGGGATAAAATGGTTAAGTAGCTATCTAGTATTATCCTTGATAATAATAGATAGCTATTTATTAGGACACATATAACGTAAAGGATAATAATAGATAGCTACTTAACCATTTTATCCTGGGATCCCTTCCAATTTCGTACAAATAAAGTAAGGTCCAAACAAAGCTTGTTTCATGGGTTATGTGTTCTATAGGTACCAAGTAACTATGCTGCCTTAAAGAGGAGACTTATGGTGCAAACATAGTGGCTTTATTTTTCATTATTACTCTAGAGAAAATAATATTAGACAGGTTCCATTGTACAAAGTTAATTGCAGCGCAGATTAAACTCACAGCAACAGTTATAAAAATCCTCTTAATATGAAGAAAGAAAATCACGTGAGATTGTTTCATTTGATATTTTATGCGGCGTTACGTAACGTTGGTGATTTAAGAAAACGATGTTCATTAAATGCGATTCATCGGATATAAGGGACTATGACATATCCAGGAAGACACGTTCCTCTCAATTAGTTCTTTAAATCGAAATTTTATTGCATGTAAATGAATCGCTAGCCTCGAGAAGAATGTATCATGGCGCCTTCTTGGTCTAACGTTTTCTGTTGACATGAAGTGGAAAGATTATATTTAATTAATTGCTAAGTCTCCAACTAGGAAAGTTGGTTCACGATGTCGTACTAGACAATTTTACTCGCCAGAATCTATCTTAGACATTTATAAATATAATATATATATTCCTGTCACATATGGTCGAGTATTTCTTCCATGTATCTAGATATTCTTGAAACAAATCGAAAGAATCTGCAAAATTATTGGTCCTGACCTGGCATCTCGGCTTCAGTGACTTTCCCGCCGCCGTAACGTATCTTCCTGTGCCTTTTCTATAAATACTTTCATGGTAGTTTTCATGAACTTTCCCATATGGCACCTAGACTTTATGAATTTAAGCGCAGTACTAGATTGGCGAAAAGGTCTCATTATTTTACAGTTGAAATGGTTAGATGTAACCGTAAGTTCTATGCTAACAGTTTTTTCTCTCTCGCCCCTCGCACTTCTCGCTTGTGGAACTCTCGTCCGGCTTCTTGCTTTCCAATTTCTGATGGTAATTGTTGGTTATCATTCACCACTTTTAAAATTAATTTTGCTACTTTTTCACAAATACAGATGTGTAAAAATATATTATTTGATTCTTAAATTATATTAATTGCTCAAAAAAAAATAATCGTATTATTCGGTTGGCACGAACGCGGCAGTAGCCTGCGGGATGGCGTCGAATAGGTCGACTCCATCGGGTAGTTGCCTTCTTCACGTGAACACGGCCAGGTAGGTCTCAAGATGTTGTCGTGCCTTTCCTCGATTAGGCTTGTTCTTCCACTTTACTGATCCCAACAAAAGTTCGATATTCTAAATATGGACTCTGGTATCTGCAGCAACGAAATTGTATCGATGATTAACATTGAAATGTTGGAAGCCAATCTCCTCGAATTCAGTGGTTTTATATCCTAGCCAGCTGTCGGGGGGAGATAATGGAACCTTTGACGATGTTTTCCACAATGGTAGCCAAGAGAGTTGTAGTGGAGTGGCTGGGAACATGAACGATGAAGTTCCACGTCAAATTCCTCCGTCAATCACAAAGCTATTCCCAATGCACAGTACATGCTCGCACCATTTCAAAGAGAATGTTTCCCAGTACTAGCCGTATATGAAACGAAACACAGTGAACAAATTACGGCATGTGTTTGACTGTTTCTAGTCCAATTTTCTGCTTGCAGTTGTTTGTATTATACTTCCAACAGATCCTGCAATCGAAGAATAGCTCCACTATGTGGCCATTTTTTCAGTGCTTCTCACTTGGCAGGACTATTTACCTTGAAGCAGGCGAATAACTTCCTTTTTATTTCTTGGCAGGTTCCAAAGATTCATGTAGCAGTTTGAAAAAACATGAATACTACATCTAACTTTATAAAATGTGACGATAGATAACCCACAAGTGACTTCCTGTTCTTTTATTGTTCTGTTTTCTAAACAGTATTTTCTTTTTCTAAGATTCTCTCACGCTCAACACCCTCTTGCGTCTTAGTGGCTTTATTACCTTGCTTGGAGTGAAATGATTTTAAAAAAATCAGTCAATTATGTGCCATGCTTAAGCGATCATTTATCTTTTGATACATGGCTGACGAGGCAGATTTTTTTCCCCCGCAGTAGGTTGTCATTTCTTTCTGCGGTAGACCAGTTGCCATCCAAATCTATAGAACCCAGTCTGTTCTTCTATTTACCCATAGCTGGGGGAGGAGATAAGGATCTATACCATTCCCAAGAAGTGTATTAGCACGTAAGCGAATGTAATGGATTCCACTGGAATTCGAACTCGGCTCTCCGATTCCTCAATTGTCCATTACTCCACCGCTTGTATTAATAAAAATCAAAAAAAAAAAAAAAAAAAATCAAGGAGAAACGGTAAGAAGCCTGAAAGGTCAGGGTTGCTATATTTCGCTTTGTCACATTTCCCGAAATCTCAAGATCTATTTAGAGAGAGAGTTCTTAAATGTCTGGTTGTCAGTACATACAATTCCCTGGCTTGCCGTAAAGACGTGCACAGTTCAAGAGACTACTTTTTTTTTTATCGAAAACTGCTGTTTACTGTTAAATATTTAATGTACTAAGAAAAAAGAAAACATTCGCATATAAGTAGATATTAACCCGTCTTCTCCCTCCGCTAAGCTAAATGAGAGAGGGCGTTGTTATTGGATATGTTGTTGCTTTTTTACTTTCTTTTGGTTTCTTTTTGCTTGTAATGGTCACTCTCTTTGTCGCTATTCGTATTTCCTCTTCTCTCACTCCGTTTTAATAGACGACGTTTTAATAGTTTGTACTTTATGATCTAATACCATATCAAAGGGGATTATAATTGCGTATATTACTCTAATAAAAATAAGTTTATGACTTTCTTTTAGAATGAGGTGGCGTGGAGGAAGAGAGTGGGGAAGTGAAACAAAAGAGAACAGTCCACAAAATATAAGGGAAGACAGGAGAAGAGGCAAAAAAAAAAAAAAAATGAAAAGAAAAGGGGAAAAAAACAAAAGAAAAAAACCTGCTGGGACGAAGAAAAGGTAATAAATTAAAAGTCAAGAAAAAAATGAAAGTGCGATTTGGACGAGGGTAAAGATAAAAGAGTTGAAGAAAGCAAACTGAAAAAGAATCTATCTCTATATATATATATCTACAAACAACAAAGCAACAATGTCACCACCGCCACCATCACCACCGCCGCCATCCGCAACAACAAGTACAACAATAATAATAAAATCGGGCGACAACGACAGGAAGCAAAACAACAAAACTAATGTTGAAAGAAGTTTATTTTTTCGTTTGAAAGCGAAAACGTCTTTCTTTATTATATATATATATATATATATATATATATATATATATATAAATATATATATATTTAATGTACATATATATAGATATATATATATATATATATATATATATATATATATATACATACATACACACACACACACACATATATATATATATATATATATATATAGGGGTGGGTGGGGTGTATTTAATGTTTTGTCTCAACACTGACTGTTGCGGTAGCGAGAAAGACAGGGAGAGAAAGAAAGAGAGAGCGAGAGAGAAAGAAAGAAAGAGAGAGAGAGTGTGGATGGTTGGCCTTTGGGTGGATGGGATGTGTGCATAATTAGAGGAACGAGGTGGGGCTGTGGTACGTGGATGTTGGCGGGTTTCCTCCCTTTGAGGTAGTGGATCGACTTACAATTAAATGATATGAATGCGCCATAAGACCAAACTGGATAGCGGAGAATAAAAGGAACCGAAAAACACTGGAATAGAGAAATGAAATGGCGAAAAGATAGAGAATGAGGGAGAGGAAAAGAGTGGAAAAGGAAAAATAAATGTAAATGATACAATTGGAGCTGGCGAATAATAATAATAATAATAATGTAGAGGAAAAGAAAGACGAAATATGTAGTATTAGTTGACATATCTGGCCTGCTGTGTATCTAAACATACTTCAAAAAATCTGCAAGCCTATCGGTCATGACCTGGCATCTTGGCTTCAATCACATTCCCACCGGCGTAACGTAGCTTCTCTGTGCCTTTTCTATAAATATTTTCATGGCAGAAGTTTTGATGAACTATTATCTGAGTCTTGGGAAGCCGTTGCTGCAAATCGGCTTTCCTGGCGTAGGACCATCCGAGAGGTTGGGGTGTGGTGGTTTTTAACCGAAACTTTCGAGTCCAACCGTCAACATGAAGAGGATCTGCGACGTGCTGTCAGGTGAGACGAACTCGCCCAGCAGACGTCCACCACCTCACACACCTCTGTGACTCCTGCTCACGACACTTCAGGAGTCAGCTGGGCCTTCCCAGCTATCTTAGCCACCACCGCCAGGAGAGAAAGGAGATAGGGAGAGACGATCTCGATGCTCGGATGTGAGCGGGTGACGTCGCCGACGAAGATGCATTAATAAATATCTTTTCTCTTTTAATCAGAACTGCATATCATTTTCCCTAGCAATATTAAGACTGGCACAATGTCGGGGACATAGTTAAAAATAATAACAATAAAAATGGAAATCATTTGAAAACTTGAAATGAGAGAAGCTTAGTTGGACGTCAAAATTTAAATTTAAATGTTAAACGTTTCAGCATCATTAAAGTTTTCATGTAAACTGCTACCGGTGTTTGTCGTAAGACTTTCTATCTGTTTGAAGAGATCCACTTTCTTGTTATGCATCTATGATTACTTACCTAGCACATGCCGGGTAGAGTTTGTCATCTCTCAGTCACGTTTCTGTCTTTGAGTGCGACACAGTTGTGGCTCTATCCGCAGAGACGCAGCTGAGGAAAATAAATACTATGAGGTGCCCGGTTCTGGGGAACAGCTGCCCAAGGTGACATCCCGCATTTCACTAGAGAGGGGGATTCGGTGGTCGCTACCGAAGCCAGAGCGACCGACGGTTGTGTGGGTTGGGCAATTTTTGTTAAACACGGCATTGTATCACATCCCGTCACAGTGAGGAGACCAAGGTAAATACCTACGCACTGTATTCTTTGATATATATATTTTTGTTCATTGAAAAATACATCCCTACCCTTACCAAAATGTAGCTAATAACCGATACAATGATGCAGACATAAGGAAAACCCAGACACCCCTTGTCCAGTTGAAGTAGATTATCTGTAACCATGGACACGTGATTTTAGCTGTGTCTTTAAAACCCAGTAATTTTAAAAGTTACTCCAAAATTCGCTTGAGGATGAAATGGAACTAATGTCTTTAATTTAATTGCAAAATTAAATTCGTAGCTTTTAGCTTCCATGGTTAGAACTGTGTAGCGGAAAAAACCATATTTTAAATCAATTAATTTATAATATTAATGCTCTGTAAATTTACATCGAGCACTATTTTGTAAAAATAAAAATACCTATAAGAACACCTGATTATATATCTTACTGTTCTTTCTTTATATATATATATATATATATATATATATATATATATATATATATATATATAAAATTTGCAATATGCTGAGGGCTCTTGATTGGGCTGTTATCACAATAGTTAGAGAGAAGATGCGATAGGCAACGATAAACTACAGAAGAACTCAAAATTGATCGCTGCATTTAAATCTTGCAACAATATTTAAGCTTATCTTTTAAAAGTTTAACGATAATTTTTCTGTCGCCACTTAATTTAAAGATAATTTGATATGCGTAGGGCCTTACTTTATGTACAAACAATTATTTTTATTTCATGGGTGATTTTCGGTAGATTTTGCAATTAATTTCGATTATTCACAAATTTATTTCCAAGTTATAAAAACAGTAACCGTAAAAAAAAAATCGTTGCAAATCATTACGTAAAAAATCATCGAAACAATCGCAGCAATGAAACCTTGGGAATACAAAACCTCTGTAACATGATCTATTGAAAGTTAGAGAGTTGTCTCCCTTTAAATGAATAAACTGTGCAACGCTATTTCAATTAGAGGAATACAACTTTCAGGAATATATATATATATATATATATATATATACATATATATATATAATAAAAAGGCTTAAACCCTTATATTCCATGGTCATAATTTATTCCATTGGAATCGTAAATACGATCCAATTCATCAGACCTACAAATTCAAAAAGAAAACAGAAAAAAACAACTCCGGAAATAAAAATAGAATTTAGAGAGAGTGTAAGTATGAGAGTGTGGGACGTATGTTAGAGCTAAAGAGAGGGGTAACAGACGAGAGAAGGTGGGAGATTAAAACTTAACAGGGAGGGGTTTTTTTTAATAGAGGTGAGTGGAAGGGGGGAAATATGAATGTTGTCGGATGTCTAAGATACATTTCGTGGTGACATACACACACCATAGACGATCTAATGTTAAAGATGAGAATAAGAGGGAGGGAGAGGAAAGGAAAGAAGAGGTGGGGGAGAGAGATGGAGCGGGGGAAACTAAATTTGAAGGACATTTACTGAAAGGGCCGCTGTGTAACTGTAGTTTACTGCTACCAGCAAGCAGAAATATTTATTCTCCTGATGATGGCCATTTTGGCCGAAACTAGTCAAGGAATCTAAATGAAATAATAATAATAAAAACGAAAGAATATGCATGTACAACCAAGTGTGTCTGAAGATTTTAATTTTTTTAATATTTTTTATTGTTCAATATATATATATATATATATATATATATATATATATATATATATATATATATATATATATATCCTCTAACAAATTTGCTTCTCGTAACTATTAGCGACCGTGTAATAGTGTATTAAATGAGAGTAAATTTTCTATTCCTTCCCATTCTTCGGACAATTTGATGTGTTAGCATCTGCAGATAAAGCCGAATTTTGCGCGTGAATTCTCTTCAAAATCCATTTTGTCACATCTGAAGCATCCTTGACTGACCTTCCCTTTAGAACTGAGTCTCCATTGAGATATATGTAAGTAACTCCTTACGTGGTTTCTGCTACCATCTATAATCTGGATGCCCTCAATGCATGTATACCTCATGTTATCCCACTTATGCTCCCGAACTGGCTCCCGTTCTCTCTATAAATGCTACGCCGCTACCACTTGCTATTCAACTTGTTGGGAAGCCTTTTCTATTGTTCCAGATTTCAGGAATCCAGGTGAACCGTTTGATCTTTTTAACTTTCGCTTATCTAGGTCAACTGCTGGCGAACTAACGATTATTTATAGACTCTTTCAGTCTAGAAAGCTTTAGATTGGCAGCAAAGTCTGATCGTTTTACAGGTGAAGTGGCTAGCTGTTAACCGTAAGTTTTATACTAACAGTTTCTTCTCTCGCACTTCTCACTTGTAGAACTCCCTTCTGGTTCCATTATTTTCAGCCAACTCTCATCATCAAAAATCTAAATGCAATGTCAATCGAAATCTCCTGTCCTCCTGATTAGTCATGTTTTGTTCTTGCTATTTCATAATGCTACTCTTCTAAAAAAAAAAAAACCCCAAAAAACTGAACTACAGAATTTAGTACAACATTGCACCTTTGTGTTATTAAGGATTCCATCTATCTATCTATCTATCTATCTATCTATCTATCTATCTATATATATATATATATATATATATATATATATATATGTGTGTGTGTGTGTGTGTGTGCGTGTGAACATTTTGATACAAATAAAACATAAAAAAAGCAATATAAATAAAAGACAAAAGAGAAACTTTTCTTTACCAACGCGTTTCGTCCCTTGAGTACTCTATCGAGGTAAATGATAAATATATTCCTCAAAGGACGAAACACATTGGTAAAGTTTTCCTTTTATTTTTTTTATCTCATATATATATATACATATATATATATATGTGTGTGTGTGTGTGTGTGTGTGTGTGCATGTGTTCGTATATAGTATATATATATATATATATATATATATATATATATATATATATATATATATATGTATGTGTGTGTCCCCACAAAAATTGCGATATCTAAGTTTTAAATTAATTTTTAAAAATGAAAAAGCAATCTTGAAGATTTCATCCGAGATTTAATTGAAAGCTAAAGGATTAAATTTACTATTGCCTCTAAGCAAAATAATGTGGTGTATTTTAAACAGAAATGATACTGATTGGAATTGATTTTCATTTATTTTCAGCAGCATCGTCAGAGTCGTCCATTTGTAATCACCTGTTAGTTCTCGAATTAAGAATCTTGCAAAAATATAATACTTACGTTTAGCTACAGAGGAAGCATCTGGTTAGCAAGGTTTAATTACTGTTTTGAATTTAACCTTGATAACCGGACGTTTCTTCTAAATAGTATAAAACGTCAGGCTATATGGCGGTTCCGTGTAGTATACTGGTATGATTTTCTTTGAGATTTCTCGAACAATCAGACATGTAAATGTTGTTAATACTGTTTATTATAAACAGAGCATTTACTTAAATCTATATATCTATAACAATAATTTATAAACAATACACACACACACACACACACACATATATATATATATATATATATATATATATATATATATAGTTGGACTGATGTAAGTTTGTGACCCTGGGTTTTACACTTTTGCTATCGTCAGACAAAGTTTATCTGACGATCGCAGTGTCACAAACTCACATCAATCCAACTAAATATGTTAGCTCTATCTCTGATATTAAGCGCTTTCCAATAAGTACCCGCATATGTAATATATAAATAATATATATAATAAATTGCATATATATATATATATATATATATATATATATATAGAGAGAGAGAGAGAGAGAGCTATAATCTTAAGATGTGGTATATTTATGGGATAAAGTTCTCAATATCAGAGATAGAGCGTGCGTAAATATAACAGTGAACATTGAAGTCAATATTTAGAGGAGACAGTCTGTTTCATGCTAGATGCAGTCGTCAGGTAGCCTGACGATTTCATCTAGCATGAAACAGACTGTCACCTCTATGTTGACTTCTATAAATTTGTTTTATATATATATATATATATATATATATATATATATATATATATATACGATAAACGTGCAATCAATTTACAAATTCATGAATTATTCACACAAAAACAAATGCAAAGGTTAATGATTTAATTGGCGAGAAATCCATCGTCGCAAACAATTCAAATAATATACATAAACCTCCGAATCCGTTATGAATGAAATGATCCTTGTTTCTATAAATTTCTGCCGTATTAGTTCTTATTTTTACTACAAAGGAACAGACGAAAGCTTGTAGTAAAAATAAGAAATAATGGAGAGCTTAATCATGATGGATTTCCATACTGTCGAGTACGGCATTGGTTAATTAGTTCAAAAATAAAAAATAATAATAATCGAATTTATCCCAAGCAAGGCAATGAAGCCACTAAGACGCAAAGGATTACTGTGTGTGAAAAAAAATTAGAAAACAGAAAGGAGCAAGAACAATAGCAAAGTAATCAGGAAAACAGTAGATAACGTTTGACATTACTTTAAGATTTTTGAAGATCATAATTAACTGGAAAGAGAGTTTCACAAGCGAGAAGTGCGAGAAAAGAAACTGTTAACATAGAACTTGCGGTTCGATAATAGAATCACCTGAAAGACCTATTCCTGCTTCCCAACAACATGGCTAATGCTATCCTCCAGGAGGATGACTCGTTGTGCCTTCTGGGGCTAACGTTCTCGGCTGACATGAAATGGAAAAGATTATATTGAAACCATTGTTAGGTCTGCTGCCAACAACATTGGTTCACTGTGACGATTTTTCTCTCCTGAATATATCTTAGATATTTATAAGTCTAAAATTCGGGCATGCCTTGAATATTGCTGCCACATATGGTCCGGTACACCTGTTGTATATCTAGAGATTATTGATAAAATGCAAAAAAAAAAAATCAGAAATATTATTGGCCAGGAGAGAAGTACATATATATATATATATATATATATATATATATATATATATATATATATATATATATATGTATATATATATATATATATATATATATATATATATATATAGAGAGAGAGAGAGAGAGAGAGAGAGGAAGAAAATAAGTTACAATTTTGAAATTATATTTTTATATTTCTTACTGGATATGTCAACCTGCATATGTGTTATGGAGTAGTTTCATAGTGGAGGCTTGTAGTTGTACTAAGTCGGTCCAAAAATAAGTTCGACGTACAAAACGTTAGGAACTTGATATAATAGGTAAGGGCGCAGAGAAATCTAGTTGCGGTTGCTGATACTTTAGTATCCAACTAACGGTCGTCCGGCATCGACTGACTGAACAACTCACTGAGCGACTGCACGACTGCCTCGTTACTATTACTACTACTACTTATTATAGGTGGGAGGGTCTATTAACTATAGAATAGGTGTGTTCCCCTATAACAATATGCCGACTTTATATGTATATATATATATATATATATATATATATATATATATATAAGTTGTAGCCGCTGTCTGTCTGTTATCGAACTCTTCTTAGGGTTTTGGAGATAACCCATAACCACATATATTTTGAAACTACATTATCCAGTGTACTTGGATGAGTATATTTCATTTCGGTCAAAGGGGGTGCCCGTGGGGTAGAAATGAAAAAATTTCCCTTTGATATAAATTAAATTTAAATTTGAACAAAGGAATGGCATATCCAAAATACAGAAGGAGAAAGATGGAGGTCATATCAGCAAGATCATTTTGATAAAGGAGTCAATTTTCTGTCGCTGTAATGTAGCTGCTCTGTACCTTTTCTATAAATACTTTCATGGTAGTTGTTCAGATGAATTTTCCTCTATATTACTTACACTTTATGAATTTAAGCGCAGTACTAGGTTGGCGGTAAGGTCTCGTCATTTCATAGTTGAATTGGCTAAGTTCTTGGCTAAGTTTCTTTTCATGCACTTTTCGTTTGTGAACCCTTCTTCCGGTTAATGCTTTTCAGCGAACTTTAATTTTTTAAAAAATAAATGTACAGTGTAACCCGGATATAAGAGACCCGGATATAAGAGAAACCCGGATATAAGAGAGATTTTCTCTGGTCCCAAATTAGAGCCTGTGTTAATGCATATAAATTAGACCAAACCCGGATATAAGAGAAACCCGGATATAAGAGACTTCTTCTCCGGTCCCGACAATATCCGGGTTACACTGTAATGTCAATCGTTATCTACTGTGTTTCTGATTACCCTTCTGTTGTTCTTGTTCCTTAATAATGTTTCTGTTTTTATTTTCTTATTCTTTCACACTCAGTAACCTCTTGTGTCGTAGTTGCTTTACTGCCTTGCATGGAGTGGAATGATTCAAAATAATAACGGGAGAAAGAATGATAAGCTCTAAATGGTAAGGAAGAAAAGAAAAAAGAAAAAGAAAAGGAGAAACAATGAATTGAGAAACAAAATGACTAAGGGAAAGAAAATAAACAATAGAAGGGGAGAAGAAGAAGCAAAAAGAAAGACATCAAAGAAAAACTTAAGATGCGTCTACAATAAAACGTAACGGGTCTGAAAGGCGGTCGGGTGAACATCAAAAGAGAAAAATTATAAAGAAAAGAAAGACAAAAAGATAGAGAGAGAAAGAAAAAGAGAGAGATAAGAAGTGGTATTAGAGAAAGGGAATTCAAAGAGCGATAGAGAGATGTGTTAGAGAAAGAGGGTGAGAAAGACAAGAACTGGTTTTAGTGGAAGCGGGTGTGAGTGAGAGAAATAGGAAGTAGTGTTAGAGGAAGAGAGACAGAGAGAAAGTGAGAAATAGGAATTTATGTTAGAGGAAACTAGTAAGAAAGAGAGAGAGAGAGAGAGAGAGAGAGAAAATATGGAGTTGCATTAGAGGAAGGGTGGGTGATAGAGAGGGAATGGTATTACAGAAGTGGGGAGAGAGTGAGAGAAGAAGTAGAAGGGTTAGTGAAAATGGGTGAGAAAGAGAGAAATAGGAAGTTACATTGGAGGAAGGGAGTAAGAGAGAAATATGAATTTGTATTAGAGGAAGGGAGTGTGATAGAGAGAGAGAGTGAGAGAAATGTTATTACAAAAGTCCAGAGAAAGAAATAAGAAATGTATATAAGAAGAAGAAAAGGACTAAGAAAGAGAGACATATAGAAATGGTATTAGAAGAAGAAAGTGTGTGTGTATGTGTATATAAGAGAGAGAGAGAGAGGGAGAGAGAGAGGAGTGGGAGAGAAAGAAATAAGAGGTGCTAGAAGAAGAGAATGAGTGTGTGAGTGATAAATAAGCGGGACTAGAGGAATATGAGAGGGTGTGATTCATGAAGAAAAGGTAGAAGAGAAAGACATGTAAAAGACAAAATATTTTTTTTTAAAAAAATGAAGAGAATTTAAAAGAGAAGAGAAAAAAGAAGAAAAAGATTACAGGAGAGAAAAGAATAGAAAGAAAAAGAAAAACGATTATAAGAATGAGAGGGAGTAACGAAGAGAGTTGAAAGGCCAATTAAAATGAGCAGAGAGGTAGAGAAAGAAAAAGGAAAGAGTAAAAGAAAGGACCCTAAAATTGGGAATCAGAGAAAGTAAATAAATAAAGAGAGAGAGAGAGAGAGAGAGGGGGAGAGAGAGAGAGAGAGAGAGAGAGGGGGGATAAAAGAAGAAAGTGTGGAAGGAGTAAACAAAGATGGAGGAATTAAAAGGTAAAAAGAAAAGAAAGGAAAACAAAAGATTGTCAAACGAAAGACAAAAGAAGGATACGGAAATAAAAGAAAGAAAGAAAGAAAGAAGAAGAAGAAAATACGACAGTAGGAACAAAAGACGTAAAAAAAAAAAAAGAGAAAAAAGAAACTAAATGGAAAGCATAAAAAGAATTTAAAAGAAGCACGAGAAAGGGAGCAGGAACGAACGAGAGATAGGAGATTAAAAAATGAGATGTAAATTAAAAGAAAGAAACAATAAATGGCAACAAAGAAAAAAAAGGAGAAAGAAAGAAAAAGAAAAAGTCTGAAAGAAGATTGTGAAACAAGAAAAAAGAAAGAGAGCAAAAAAATACTGTGAAAAGGGAAAAAATAAAAAAAATAAATAAGGAAAAACGTTAAAAAATGAACAAGCTGAATAAATATTTTAAATTAAAAGATATTGTAACTGATTCCTCGTCTTACCCAATAAAGTGGGCATGCAGGATTGATTTGACTCGGGCTTGGCCATATGAAATAAAAAAAATATTTCTTGTTTATCAAAAAAGAAAAATACATTGCTATTGGAATAGGAAAAAAAACATCCCTACAAGAATATACAAATAAAAAAAGAAAGAAGGGAGGAAAGAAAGAAAGAAAGAAAGAAAGAAAGAAAGAAAGAAAGAAAGAAAGAATGGGAAGAAAGAAAGAAAGAAAGAAAGAAATAAAGAAATAAAGAATGGGATGAAAGCAAAATAGAAAGAAAGAAAGAAAGAAAGAATGGGAAGAAAGAAAGAATGAGAAGAAAGAAAGGCAGAAAAGAAAGAATGGGAGGATAGAAAGAAAGAATAGAAGGAAAGAAAGAAAGAATGGGATGAAAGCAAAATAGGAAGAAAGAAAGAAAGAAAGAAAGAAAGAAAGAAAGAAAGAAAGAAAGAAAGAAAGAAAGAAAGAAAGAATGGGAAGAAAGAAAGAAAGAAAGAATGGGAAGAAAGAAAGAATGAGTAGGAAAAAAGGCAGAAAAGAAAGAATGGGAGGAAAGAAAGAAAGAAAGAAAGAAAGAAAGAAAGAAAGAAAGAAAGAAAGAAAGAATGGGATGAAAGCAAAATGGGAAGAAAGAAAGAAAGAAAGAAAGAAAGAAAGAAAGAAAGAAAGAAAAAAGATTAAAACAGGAAAGATAGTTAAACAAGAGAACGTAAATAATGGAAAGCGAAAGCGAAAGATATCAGAGATAAAGAGAAAGAGAGTCAAATTAAAGAAATTTAAACAAGGAGAGTGGGGGCATAAAATAGAAAAATAACAGAAGAAAAGGAAAAGAGAAAAAGAGAGATTAAAAAGTGAGGGAAAAGGGGCTGCACCTATTTCCTCTAATTTACGCTAGTCCCTTTTGATGACTTTAAAACCGGAAATGACGTAGGCATTTCACAATGCCAAGCATTTCTACTTCATTTAATGAAGTCATCGGCTATTCTCACCTCTTCCCATTGCTCGGAGATCTCCTCCCACCTTCATCACTTCTAATCCTACCCTAAACTTTCGCCAGCAAATGAACCGAGTGACCTCGGACTTACGTGGACGGACTGTTGTACGCTTCTCAGACAAACGACGATATTTTTTCTTAAAAAAAGGGCGTTACCATTATAAGCCATAAATCTGTGGGTAAATATTGTGTGTGTTTCTTTACGCGCCCATGTGTGCGTGTACTTCTGCACGCGCCTTCTGTAGTAAACATTAACTAAGAAGTTGGACATAATGTGACACGGGTAGACATGAGAAAGACATGGATAGATAGATAGACAAATAGATAGATAGATAGATAGATAGAGAGAGAGAGAGAGAGAGAGAGAGAGAGAGAGATAGAGAGAGCAAGTGATACAAGTGTATGCTTATATATATATATATTTATATATATATATATATAGATATATGAGAGAGAGAGAGAGAGGTATAGAGAGAGAGCGGGAAGTACAAAGGGAGAGAGAGAGAGTGAGGGAGGGAGAAAGGAAAAAAATAAGCTATAATTTTAAAATTAAATTTCTTTCTGGAAATGTCAGTCTGCATATGTCGACTTCTGCGTGTCAGCATGTATACAGATACGTTTTTCAGCATGCGCAGCATTATATATATATATATATATATATATATATATATATATATATATATATATATATATAGCATCTGTCTCTTATCGAACTCCTCTTAGGCTTTTGGAGATCGACAACCCATAACCACATATATTCTGAAACTACATTACTTGGATAAATATATTTCATTTTGATCAAAGGGGGTCCCCGTGGAGTGGGGCACCACACCATTGAATTTTTTTCCCATTTGATGAAAATTAAATTTAAATTTGAACAAGGGAATGGCTCTTATCCAAAATATAGAAAGAGAAAGCCAGAAGATGGAGGTCACATCGGCAAGATCATTTTGAACAAGGAGGGTCCCCGGGGGGACACAAGCACCCCACCACTATCACTGATCTTTCCCCTTTGATTTAAATTAAAATTAAATTTGAACACTGGAATCACTCCGAGAGTACATGGATAAGTATATTTCATTTTGATCAAAGGGGGTCCCGGGGTGGGGAAGCAAAAACCCTGAACTGAATTTTTTTCCCTTTAATTTAAATTAAATTTAAATTTGCACAAGGAAATGACTCCTATCGAAAATATAAAAGGAGAAAACCAGAAGATGGAGGCCACACAGGCAATATCAAAATGAGACTATATGGGTGTCAAGTTGAGCAAGAAATGACCAATCAGTAGGTAGTGCCTTACAGTACATATTTGTTGCAATTCAAATGTCTATCATATCATTATTGAAATCTGCTCATCAGTTCATTCAATCAATCATATTGTATTAAATACATATCAATGGGGTCAGATCAAGCTGTTTTTGCACACTCCCCACTAAAATTTTTCCCTTTGATTTAAATTAAATTTAAATTTAAACAAGGGAGTGACTCCTATTCAAAATATAAAATAGAGAAAGCCAGAAGACGGAGTTCACTTCGGCAAAATCAATGAGTAATATTGAAATCCATCATTTTTCTTCACAAATTATAACGATTTAAAATCAATCATCATATTCTTAGAAAAAATGTATGACCCGCAACAATATAAAATTACGCTCAACGTCTTGAGTTACGACTTCGAGGTAGCACAACGACGGTGCCACACTCTGGGATCACATCCCCAGGAATATATTATCAAGAAGTCACCTTCTTTTAAATATATATATATATATATATATATATATATATATATATATATATATATATATATATATATATATATATATATAATAAATTAATTGATTTAAAATATGGTTTTTCCGCTACACAGTTCTAACCATATTTCAAAAAAATGGAAGATCCAAATTATAAGAACACCGGATTATATATCTTACTGTTCTTTTTTTTATATATATATATATATATATATATATATATATATATATGTGTGTGTGTGTGTGTGTGTGTGTGTGTGTGTGTGTGTTTATGTAGGGGCTGTGGGGTGTAAAAATAGGTTAGTTAATAAAACAAGGAGAAACGAAAGGGTACCAATATAATCAGCACGATAAACATTTTTTAAATATTAATTGTTAACCATATGACTAAAAATGAAGCAGGAAAAAATGTTTTAAGTTCGGAATTTTCGGACACGTCTGTGTCCTTCATCAGCGGACTAAAGAATAAACCGAGAAATGGGAATTACTCACCGACAGATGCTTTTGTAGATGGTGTATTTTCTAGTGGAAATCGTATTGTTAGCAAAATCCTGTCTGATTCCTTGATGTGCGAAACATGAAAACAAATTTAAAATTTTGATTGGTGTAAAAGCGTTAGGCAGATCTATTATTACTAGTATGTGTCGTGGTTGGGGAGTGAGATTTTAGACATAGATGAAGAAACTTATAGGTTGGGTAGGCGAAATGACGTCACGCGTGTCGCAAGTTATAGCAAAAATTGTCGGACCAAGTTTTCAATTGTAGAAAAACGGGCTGTGGCTAGTGATGAAAAAAAAAAAGAAAAATGAGGAGGAAAAAAGGAATATATAATAATAAAATATTAAATAAAATGAAATGAAAATAAAAAAGCGAAGGAACAAAAAATGGATAAAAATTCTTTTAATCATTCATATATATATATATATATATATATATATATATATATATAGTGTAACCTGGTTATAAGAGAGTTGTCGGGACCGGAGAAGAAGTCTCTTATATCCGGGTTTCTCTTATATCTGAGTTTGGTCTAATTTATATGCATTAACACAGGCTCTAATTTGGGACCAGAGAAAATTCATCTTATATCCGGGTTTCTCTTATATCCGGGTCTCTTATATCCGGGTTACACTACATATATATATATATATATATATATATATCAGATAGATAGATAGATAGATAGATAGATAGATGATTTAATTTAAGTATAATGAGCTCGAGCTTCATACCGCTAGACCATACACTTCTTTCGGGAAAAGACTAAGGGTTAATCCCAAAGGAGAAATGTCTAGGGAACTTGAGCAATTTTGCCTCGTTCCATGAAAGTCTGGGTTTCCCACTTTAAAGTCGACATTGTGCCACATTCCATTCGATTTAGCGTACAGATAAATACCCACACCGTATAAATTATCATTATTATGGCTACTCGTTTTCCGAGTACATGCGTGTGCTAAGGTCGTTAGGAAATCCATGTTGCTCGGTTGTTTGTACTGCAACTATGCTGAGCGAACCTTACTTACAGTTTCTGGGTGGGAAAAGCGCATAATCTGGTTTGGTCAACAGTTTGAACAAGACCAGCCCGCTCAAACTCTCGGTCACGATGACTTGTGACTTTAACTTAGCGCAACCATCAACGGCTTCCAAATATCCATTTTGCCTCACAAGTTTTTGCAACAACTCGTGGTATAATTCCAGGCACTTTCCAACAGTGTCGCATGTTCGGATCGCTTCATTTGCTTGGCCGATGAAATCAAGAAATACCTTCCTTGAGTTTGTGAGATTCGAACCCAGCTCTTATGGTTTGAAAGCGAATGTTCTAACCATTAGGTCAGGCACCAATATATATATACTGATATGTAATAATGGCTGTTGGCTCACTAAATGAACATGACCATCACTGACAAGCATTAGTGATCATGTGACCGATTATGGCTCTTGACGCTAGCAAGCGATTAGTAATTTTATTGTACAGACGGCAGATATGGTCCATTGTTGAAGAGTTTGCACTTCTTTGGTTCGCTGTTTATCGATTTTTTAGTGTCTTCTCGGTGCAGATCGACTGGAATACGAATTACCATAATGTACGTAAATAAAAACGCTGTTGAACTGATAAGCGTGGTAGATACGTCTGGGTTTCGACGTGAGGTTCCATGTAACAGATAAAGCATGCTTGGGATAAAAAGATTCTGCAAACTGTGGGATATTTTCATCAATCGTTTGTCGCTTTCCTTGTTGTTTGTCCTTGAAGGTGCTAATTGTTTGTAAAATCTTCAGCCCTTCATAGATACTAGATTTCCATTCGTTTCTCTCGAGAGCGATGACTCCCCAATTTGGATCATCCATCATGTATCTCTGAAGCGAGTCTTTAAAACTGTTGTACTAACCCACCTACAGTAAAATGAACTCTTCCTCCTCTTCATAAATACTAATCTGCAAGACTTCCTGTGTGTGCGAGTGAGCAACTATCATATCTCAGTTGCGCCTCTGTCTTTGGGCAAAGTGCGCTCAGGGGCTTCTCTGTCAAAGGACAGAGGGGCAACTTAGAAAATCATACTGATAGGTGCCCAGCCCTGACGAATAGCTGCCCAAGGCCGCGCCTTTCCATTGCACCAGAGGGAGGCCAGCGCAACCGACGGTTGTGGGGGTTGTGGGCAATTTTTGTCCCTTGCCCGAGTGTACGCGCTCGGGTCCCCACTTTAAAAAGACCTAGTGTCACATCTCGTCCTCGTGGAGGAAAGAGTAAACACCGTGCGTGGGAGCAGCTATCATCTCTCAGTTGCGTCTTTGTCTTTCGGCAGAGTGCGTTCAGGGGATTCTCTGTCAAAGGACAGAGGGGCTGAGAAAATCATACTGAGGTGCTCAGCCCCGAGGAACAGATGCCCGAGGCCGCCCCCCACCCATTGCACCAGAGGGAGGGACCGGTGCTCGCACCGAGGCCAGCGCAACCGACGATTGCGGGGGCTCAGGGTAATTTTTGTCCTTGTCCCGGGTGTACGCGCTCGGGTCCCCACCTAAAAAAGACCTTGTGTCACATCTCGTCCAAGTGGGGGAAGCCGCGACGCAGTGTAACCTGACTGTTCGGATGGACACTTCTATCTGCTGACTAATAACACTCTTACTTTATATATATCTGTTATTTCAATACACTTGTTCAACCTACCTTCATCTTCTGTGTCTTTCTTTTTGGTCCCTAACAGGGCCCCAACAAAAACGGAACTGGGTTTTGTGTTGAAAGATGTTTTTCTTGGCAAAGTTGTCCGTTCAGGCTTTGATTTTTGCATCCTGTTGTACTGCATTCGTATGACATGAAATTCCTACTGAAGTCTTTGACGATGAATGTACGCTTCTTTGCTGATAGAATTAACTCTTGAAAGAACACCAGAATCCGGTCTACGAGATAAAGCATTAATTTCCAGGTTGCTGCAAAGATAACACTGATGGCAACGCTACGACGCTTTTATTTGCCTACGGTAGATAACCAAAATTTCGCAGGAATAAAGCAAGTATGTTAAAACGCATACATTACAGACGCGGATCATTGTTTCGTTCTTTATCCCTCTTCTCGATCACACGAGGCCTTTTAATACAGCAAAAGCATCTGTAGTTTTTCTTTTTAATTCTAGAAGCGATATCCT